GGTTTTCTTCCAGAGAGGGCCCACATTATCTCTAGCCTTACTTTTACATGCGGCATACCTGTAGAAGCCCTTCTTGTTATCTATATCTTGTTATCCTATCTTGTTATCTTCTTATCCTATCCTTGATGTCCCTGGCTAGCCTCAATTCCAACTGTGCCTTAGCTTTCCTGACTGTCTCTAGCTTCTTAGAGCTTCTCTATATTTTTCCCAGTCCATTTGTCCTGCCTTCCATCTCCTAAAGGCTTCTTTTTTTTCCCTTGAGTTCCCTCAGCACTTTGTTATTCATCCACAGAGGCCTTCTGGCATTTTTGCCCAATTTCCCCTGTGTCTGGATGCTTTGGTACTGAGCTTCAAGTAGCTGATTCTTGAATATTAGCCAGCAGTCTTGGGCCCCTCTGCCTTCCAGGACTTCATCCCAAGGGACTCTGCCAAGAAGATCCTTGAAGAGGCCAAAGTCTGCTGTCCTGAAGTCCAGTACAGTTACCTTGCTGCACACCTTCCTCACCGCCCTGAGGATCTCGAACTCCACCATCTCATGGTCACTACAGCCAAGGCTGCCTTGGAGCACCACGTTCCTCACCAGCTCCTCCCTGTTGGTGAGCACAAGGTCCAGCACAGCTTCTTTCCTAGTTGGTTCCTCTATCATCTGTGTAAGGAAGTTATCATTAACACATTTAAGGAACCTCTGGCATTGCTTATGTACCACAGTGTTGCTCTCCCAACAGATATCAGGGTGATTGAAATCCCCCATGAGGACTAGGGCTTGCGAGCTTGAGGCTAACTTCATCAAGTCCAACTCTAGACTCTGCACAGGACATGCCTGGGAATCACACCATGTGCCTGAGAGCATTGTCCAAGTGCTACTTGAACTCTGTCAGGCTTGGTTCTGTGGCCACTGCCCTGGGGAGCCTGTTCCAATGCTCAGTCACCCTCTGGGTGAAGAACCTTTTCCTAATACCTAACCTAAACCTTCCCCAGTGCAGAGCAGAGTGCCTGACCCTCACTTCCCCTCATGAGGAAGTTGTATACAGTGATGAGGTCTCCCCTCAGCCTTCTCTTCTCCAGGCTGAACAGCCCAAGTGACCTCAGCTGCTCCTTATACAGTTTCTCCTCAAGCCACTTCACCATCTCCATTGCCCTTCTTTGGATGCTGTCTAATATCTTAGTGTCTTTCTTATATTATGGTGCCCAAAACTGCACACAGTACTCAAGGTGAGGCCACGTCAGTGCAGAGCAGAGTGGGACAATCTCTTCCCTCGACCAGCTGGTGATGCACTCCAGGACGTGATTGGCCCTTGTGGCTTCCATCCCAGGGCACGCTGCTAACCAATATCCACCCTGCCATAAATGAGTACCCCCAGGTCCCTTTCTGCAGCACTAGTTTCCAACATTTCATTCCCCAGTCTTTATGCACATCCAGGGTTGCCCCATCCCAGGTGCAGAATCTGGCTCTTACCCTTGTTGAACTCCCTATAGTTGGTGTGGCCCAGCCCTCTAATTTATCAAGATCTCTCTGCAAGAACTCTCTACCTTTGAGGAAGTCAACCGCTCCTCACAATTTTCTGTCATCAGCAAATTTGCTTAATATCCCTTCAAGTCCTGCATCCAAGTCATTTATGAAGATGTTGAATAGCTCTGGGCCCAAGATGGAGCCCCATGGAACCCCACTAGTGACCAGTCACCAGCCTGATGTAATCCCATTGATTATAACGTGACATTGTGTGGTTCTTGGGAATGTCCTTTGCAGGGCCAAGAGCTGGACTTGATCCATGTGGATCCCTTTCAACTCTGAATGTCTGTAATTCTGTGGTATAACATCATTTTTACAAGAAAGACTGGCACCATGTGCTTAAGTGTATTCATATTAATAGGAATAGACTGTACAAAGTTAATTTTGTGTGAAAAAAAAGTTGAATTGAATAATATCCCTTAGGAAACTGTTTTCCAGAAATTTATGATGAAATTTTGTGTCAATTTCAAAATGAAAACTACAGCCTTAATCTGGAAATATTTTCAAAATGAAAACTACAGCCTTAATCTAGAAATATTTTTTTTGAGAATTCAGTATCACTATCTCAGTGCCTTTAATGCCTCTTAATCCTAGATAAATAGTTCTTCAGTCATGTGAAAGGAAGAAACTTTATATTTTAAACCCAAGTTATATGATCAAACCTGGCCTACTTCTCACATGCAGCATTAGCTTCCATTTACAACTAGAGGTAAAGATAATTTGTCACTGCTGCAAGTTCAGCATTGGCTTGATCTTATTTAGGTCATTGAGAATCTTCTGGACAGTATATTTCTCTTTTGAATTCTTTTTTGAATAGCTTGATTTCATCATAACACCACAACAGTTGGTCTCAGGGAGGAAATTTAATTTCAACCAGTTTTATTCAGGAAGTAGAGTAGAATAGATTCATTATTTATGTAGGAATGTCATAATGGCCAGTCTGAATATTAAGGCTGATACAACATTAACAGAAGATTTGCACAGTTTGTATTACTTCATGACAGCTTTAATAGTCACCCCTTATTTCACCTGTATTTGCTAGTCCTGATGGAAACCCTACAGAACTGAAGCCAAGAGAAATACGTGTGCCCAGTTCAGAACTACTCTTTAGTGAAGATGTGGCTGACTTTGGAAAGGGAAAGACAGTGTTTTACTTTGCCCTGATCGTCCTGCAAGAAAAAGTTGCATCTTCTGGTGTAAATCAGAGTGGTTTCAGAGACTGCTGTGAAATACGACATAACTGACGGAGGGGGATCACTGGAGAGCAGAACCAGTACTGTCGTGTTCCCAGTCTGTGCTCTAGCATGGTCGTACTGTGAAGGTTAGATGGAGGTTCATCTTTGTAGTAGTTACAGTCTTATTTTATCTGAAAAACATAACAAAAGACCTTGAGGAAATTTGGCTGCTTCCTAGGTCATCTGTGCCCCTGAAGTAGCATGAAGGGACTTGAGCACAGCTCAGAAGCAGAGTTCTGTCTGTCAGTTCACCTGTCAGCCTGTTTGTTTCTTTGTGCAGGTATCCATCCATCTGTCCACAAATCTGGTATCATACACAGATTCAGTGACTTGTGTGGCTTACAGGTTGTCTACTTACTACACAGATTCAGTGACTTGTGTGGCTTGCAGGTTGTCTTATGGGAAGGTAGAAAGTACCTATGTACAACAAGAGCCTCAGCACTTGCCACTCTCTGACAGCCTTCCTGGAAGATCAAAGGAAGAGTTATTCAGCTGATTAGAAATGCTATTGCAAGGAGCATGAGACACACAGTTCCTAATATTTTAACAAACCAATGCCAGTGTCAGCCCATGGTTTCAGGTGTATATACCCATAAAGCAGTGAACGAAGCAACACTCACTGATGGGGGTAGTTTATGTCTGTACATTCTGCTGCTCGATGTCTGATACATCAAACAGAGACAGCCTTCCTGAAGTTATAATGATCCTGACCTTATGTTTTCACTGTCACCACCAAGCACTAGGCAAGTTTCCTTGTTCCTGGATTTCCAAGTATTATTCTTAGGAGCTTAGGAACTCTTAAATTACATTGGATTAGAGAGCCACTGCAAGATAGTCTCTAGAGCCAGTAGCACACAGGGCTGGATTACAAGACTTTGCTTGACTGTGTAATTGGGTAATATTCTTGCTAAGTGTCCATCAGCAGGCTTCAGACCAATATAACCAGTTGGTGTCTTCCGTAGGCTGTCCAGAGTGTGGATCTACAGCATTACTTACAAGCTTCTAATTCTCCATAGACCTTTATTATTCTTAACTTCTTACGAGGTACAGCAATAGTGTGGGGGGAGGGTTAGGGTTAGTTCTTTGCCAGACAACAGCAAGGAAAATGAAGATCTTTGTGATATTAAGGTACATTGTGTCTCTTTTGATCTAGACAAGATTATTTCCTTGAGGATCTTGCAGATAATGCATAGCTCCAGGAGGACCATTCCCCATCCACAGTGGTACACCTACCACCAGTACCAATGTGCTCAGCAAGGCTCTGGCTTTCAAACTGCTCTATGTGTCAATCTGATTTCCTTCAATGTGCATATGTTGTACTTGATGTGCTTTTTTTCATTGTCTTATGTTTTAGACATGGTTTTCACAAAGCTGTGACCTTGTTCTTGAAACAGCTACAACATCCTTGGGAAACTTTGCCTGGTGGAGGAAGAGAGAGTCCTTTCCTTAAATTATATAGTGATGTTCACAGTGAGAGACACTGCATGTATACCCATGGTGTAACTATAGGTTTTGCATCTTTAAGGACTGAGGTACTTACAGTCAACTGTGAAAGAAATAATGCATGTGCATATGGCTCTTGTTGTTTTGGAGTCTTACAGAAAATTTCTCCAAGGACTCACAGTGCCCATCTTTTAAGATTTGTGGGATTAACATGTCAGAGGCATCCTACCATAGACTTCAGACTGTCTATGCTTGTCTGGGACCAAGTATGAGAAGTGGGTTTAGCCAGAGCCAGCATTCAGGGGATGGAATATGGTCATGAAGGATAGGTTTCCCTAGACAGCAGCCAGAGGTGCAACTTCAGTCCTGCTCTTAGAGAGTAGGAGATAAAATACTCAAAGTATGAAATCCAGCTGATCCTGAGTCTGATCATGGAAAATCATAGAAGTGGGCTCATCAGGGAGGATGGTATCATAGTAAGAATACGAGAATTTGAGGAAATGTTTGTCCTTGAAGGTAATCACTATATGTGCATTTGTGTGTGAATGTGAACTAGGTTTGTATATCAACTCGTGTAGTGTGTATTTACATAGATATGTAGTCAGCTGGTGGGTCATGTAGAAACATGAACCTAGCAAGCCTGATGTATATCACTTCTCCATACATTCCAATCAGTTTGATATGTGGCTTTGCTAGCTAAACTCACATCTGAATTTATTGTGTTCCAAACATTTTTTATCAACATCACCATTTTCCACAAGCCATTATATACCAATAATTTTTAGTTTGCAATCATGGGACAACATAAACATTAGCAGGAAACAATAATGATGGAAGGCTCAATATTATACTGCAAACTATCAATGTAGTTTGCATTCATCAGAGCAATAGATTTATGGTACTCTGTTTAGAGAGATTTCTAAGGTATGTCCAACCAGTCTGTGATCAGTTTTCAGGAAAGCCTTTCATTGCTATATGGTATCCCTTGAAGCCACTTTATAAAAAGAAGAAAAATGAATCATGTTTGTTCTGAAACATTATGAAAAATGAAAACATGGGATTTGCCATATTAGCTCAGGTGTAATGTTTTTCTACTAAGGGTTGATTCTATGTGACTACCCCGACCTGCAGTGAATCCAGCCAACTGGTATTACTAATTGAAAAAATTATCTAGCCCTTTAAAAAATGCAGCCACTAGTTTTTCATAGGTTAAGGTAGTGTATTCCATGGCCTACCCATGTGCTGTGTATGAAGTGTTTATGTATATGCATATACTGCATATATGTGTATATAGGCAAGCACATAGTATATATACATGCATTTGAATGTATACCTTGAATGTATACACATAATGTCTATTGCACGCATGTAGGCTATATATGTAATATCTCCTGTGTGTATATACCCTGTCTGTGTATATGTGTGTGTCTGTATCTGTCTCCCACATATAGGTTTTCTGGAAGGCTTCACACTGACAGCATCACCCCTTGCTTTTTTTTCCAACCCTAGATTGGGAAGCTCGGATAGACAGCCATGGGAGGGTATTCTATGTTGATCATGTCAACCGAACCACCACGTGGCAGCGCCCCACGGCCGCGGCAACACCAGATGGGATCCACAGGTCTAGCTCCATCCAGCAAATGGAGCAGCTGAACCGGCGGTGAGCATTTGCACCTAAATTCCTTTCAGATCTGTGCTCTCCTTTTTCCACGCTGCCCCAGTAACTTCCTTTCTTCTCCAGGATACCTCACTGACTCTCTAAAGATTTGTCTTTCGTCCTTGTCTAAGTTCTTGTCCCTACAGCTGATCTCTTCCAGCCTGCTGGTGTGCCTAGTGTGGGTGTCTAGGTACCCAAACTTGCCCACAGGAGAAGTGCTGTTGAGTGAATGATGTTACAAAATGTTTCAAACAGCAAGAAGAAGCTTTTTGAAAACTTTTTTGAAATAACTACCAGAAGGGAAGGGAGTGTTCTTCTAAAAGATGGAGTAATTTTTGCTATTTAAGCCATCTCAACAAGTCAGCACCTAGTGCTGTGCTGCAGAGGTTTTGGAACTGACTGTTACTGAAATAGTTGCCATATCGGTGTGACATTTCTACTCAGGCTAATTAGGCCTGTTGAAAGGTCTGTCTCCTCTTCCAGGGAAAAGCCCTGCTCTAATAGGACTGTGCATATTTCTAGATGTAGACAGGTCTGCTTAGTGTTGCCCTGCAAATCTGTCAGTTCATTCTGAGCTGGCTGAGATATCTCTAAATGTGTCTTATACTTTCACTGTTTGACTAGTCCACACATAGATTTGTTTATCATTTTCTTCTCATGCTTGCTTTTCAGACTGAATTTAAGAGAGAAGAGAAAAACTAAACAATTTATCAAAAATCTTCCCCTTTTTTGACTCAGAAAAGGTGTTGTTTGTTGGTTTTTTTATAATTCCCTGCTTACGGTAATGATAGTTTCTGGAAAAGGACAAGCAAAACTGAAATTATATTTTAATTATAGCATGTAAAATGCTGCAAAAGTTTTATGGTCTTTTTTCTTCTGTGCTGAGATAAAGATCTGGAGTTGAGAGAAGGATGCAGAGTTTTAAAGTGCTCTTTTCAGAATATTTTGAATAGTTTGGGAGCTACTGTGCCCTGAATGGGGCACTTTGGGAGAACTGGGCCCTGAGTGACAACAACTGAGAAGGTAATATAACTCATGGAGAGCAAACCAGCCGTCTTAAAGTGATTGTTTTGCACATTAAGTTGACACCATCAACATGCTCTTGAAGAATTTACCCTTTTTTAACTAAAATTTGTTATTTTGATTAGCATTTCATAACATGTGTTATGTCTTGCAGAAGTGAGAGAACCTGCTCAGTATTTGTTTTCATTATAGCTTTGCTAATAAAGTCTCAACCTACCATGTTAATATTAAAAAAACAAAAAAAAAGCTAAAGAAAGTGAATGTTTAATGTAGATTCTCTCAGGGGATTTACAAGACTTCTCTGCCATTCAACTCTGGTCTTTGAGACTGGTGAGCCATGTCAAGGCTCAGACTATTTGGCTGCCACTGAAGCAAGTTATCTGCCATAGAAAGCTATTGTGGACATACATCAGATTTTTTAAAAAAATGTTTTTGAGGTTGAACTCATCTAAGAGCAGCACAGCCATGAGAGCAAGAAATGCTGGTGAGAGTGATTTGCCATTCTGTTAGTTAATGCAGGTTAAACCAGCTATCACAGCAGAAACTGAAGGGGAGACATTGCCTTTGTGACCTTATTCATTCATATTATACCATGTTTTCATGTAGGCAGCCTGTCTGTCTTGGTTATGACCTGATTATCACTGGTTTGTGTTGGCAATGAACAGTTAATAAGTCTGATATTCTTTGAATCTCTCTATTTTTAGTATTCATGCATCCAGTTACAAAGGGAGAAGCATGGAGGGTTTTCAGCAGTGGCATTTATCTCCTTACCCTAGTCCCTGTGGGGACTAAGCACTTTGCAGTTCATTAAACATGAACTGTCATGGCTTCTTGGAACTAAGGAAAAGAAACCTGGTGATTCTCTACTCTCTGCCAAGTGGCTCTGTTGGTTTGAGAAGTTGAATACAAAGGTCTCCTATTGTTACTAAGTTTGGAACACTTCCTAAGATTCCAGTAAAAAGGATTCATACTGAATCTTTGAGCGTTTGTCCCGTGGCAATTCATTTCTGTAATTTCAACCTGGATGTTACTTTTTTTTAAAAAAATTAGTGTTGTCTTAAATCTAATTTCAAATATTTCATGTCTCCACTTCTCAGGATTTTGAGGAAAGCCACTTTACCTAAATAATTATCAACACGCTGGATGATCAGGCTTTGTTTTAAGCAATTATTTTAAAATGCAGTTTTGTTTTATTTCAAACTTTATGATTAGAAATGTTTTTCAGCAAACACACCTGAGAAACATTTTAGGTGAGTCAACAGCAAACATAGACCTTACTGATGGAATTAGCAGCAGCCTGAACTTTTGCTTTAACCTCAAACAAAATTTGAACTCAAAATCAGCAGTTTGAAAAAACACGGTGGTTTTTCTTTTTAAACCAATTTAGTTACTTTTCGACTTCCTGGTTTCATTTGTGGAAGGGAATGGAAAGACAAAAATATTACAAGGAAGCTTGGTATTTCCAGCCCAGCCAAAACCACAAAGCTTTGGAAATTCAGCTTGAGAAAAAGCCCTGTAGCTGTGATTAAGCCTAGTTCTGCTTTCCTTCTGTGCTCCATGCTTCCCTTTAGCTGTACTAGCCACTTGAGGATACAGGAAATGCAAAACTGGAATCCAGGTGTCGGGCAAGCACCAAGGAGATACCGATACTTTTTGTTTTGAAGGTTCTGACTCATTTTCTGCAGCACTACCTGATTTGTTTACTTTTTGGTGAAGCATATAACTGCCCTTATTGTTCAAGCTCTGTTGAAAAGATACTTTGCAGCATACATATATTTAGATTTGTCTTTGCACTAGTTTTAAAAGGTAATAAATAGCATAAGAAATTATAACCATAATAGTTAAGACAGCCACAACATGGTATTTCTTAACCTCCATTTCTTTGACAAATCACTTTGAAAGAAGACTGAAATTTCCAGAGGCATTCCCATAACTTTTGCACTTTCAGTGTTTTCTCTAATTACTTTGGTATTTTCTGGTATTTATGTAAGGTGATTTTATAGTATTGAGACCCAAAAGAAATGCATAGCCTTTTGTTGGCATACAGCTAGTGTTAGTCTTTGAGGTTTGCCAGTAGGGATTTTCTACCATCTAATTAAATTGAAGGTATAAGGTTTTTCTATATGTGTGCTTATATCCCTTGATTATATGAACCTGGGGGGGTTGTGGTTTGTTTTTTTCCCTTTTTGTTGCATGTGGGTGTTGTAAAATTCCTCCAGTACTGGAATGGAAAGTTCATTCAACTCCCTGCAGTCAAGTGAATAAAACTGTAAAATGGAGGTCTAAAACAGACTGTTTAAACTGCAGTAAATTCATGCTGTTGCAAAACTCGCTATCAGAATTTTCTTATAAAGAAAGTATTTTCTTAAACTATCAAAATATACACTAATTGTAGCTTCAAATGACTTTGAGTACTATAGGGGGACACATAGAATTGTGAAAGTTTAGCATAAATCTATTAAAACTTTATTTTTCTTAATTATCTCCAGCCCTTTTGCCTAAGATTGGGTTGCAGTGAGCTACTGGAGATGATGTCTTTTTAGAGATCAAAAAGCCAAATCCTAACTGTTGTATTCAGTGATCCTGGGTTACTTTGAGGAACTAACTCATGACTAACTTCTAATCTGGAATAAAGTGTGCATTAACAAATAAAAAGAGAGAAAGTAAGTAAAATTTATAAGTCAGAACTTGAGCTGAGGAAAGAAAAAAGAGTAAGTCAGCAAAATGAAAGACTAACAATACTGGATCAGATTAAATTAAGACAGTAAGGTTTTCTGTAAGATCCTGTTTAGAATATATATGGAAATGCTATCCAGAAAGAGGATTAAAAATATTAGGGTGGAGTAAAAGCTAATTAAAATAATTAAAAGAGCCTGTTTTCTATCTTTAACAAGAATTTGTTTTCTGTAGTGTGAATTCAAAACGCTTCAGGCTGTTTCCACAGCCAGGGATATACTTTGTTCCTGATCTGTTAAAATATTTAGGATTGGGCTCAACCCTAAAACCATGATCAGTTTCATTGACAACTACTAATATGGCAATTAGTTCCATGACTAGTATGGCAATGACATTTGCAGGTTTTTATTCAGAATTTTCTTCTAAATTTAACCTTTGGGTATTCCTGGCTTTGCATCCTCTGTATCTATTTGTTAGTCACTGCAAAATGCCACATTTTCAGAGTAATGCTTGTCCCAAGTATGAACAGCTGCACCAGCTGAAGAAGAGTTGGGTGAGCTCTTATTCTGTTGTACGCTGAAGACAGAAGTATTAGAATCATTCAGAAACAGTGCTGATGGTTACAGTAGAAAGCACTAGAAAGCTCTTCTGTAACTAAAGTATGTTGTTCCTTTCTATGAATGTATCTAGATACCAAAATATCCAGCGAACAATCGCAACAGAGCGGGCTGAAGATGATGCTGTGGTAAACAACAGGGTGGAGAGAGTTCCCACTGGAGGAGGAAGTGACTCTGAGGCAGAGCCTTCCCAGCCAAGCTCAGGTATGGGGAAAAAAAGCTTTTGAGTGGCATGTTCAGTGCCCTTCAGTTCTGGGAAGATCTGCATTTCCAGTGGAGATTGGAACTTTATTGTCCCAGGTTGCAAAAATTAATTTTCAAAAAAGAGACTTAGGCTTGAGGCTACATTTTTTGGCCTGAAGCTACAGGTACTAAGCTAGATACAAAGGTCCTCAGACTTCTTTAACTTCTACTAAGACAGAAATAAGCTAGATACAAAGGTCCTCAGACTTTTTTAACTTCTACTAAGACAGACAAAGCATTTCTACTTTAGTAAAGGGCTATTTGAAGTTAAAATGGAAAAAGCATCTGTTTTTTATTCACCTAGTAGCTGCAGAAACAGCGTTGTCTTATTTTTGTTGCAGTGTGATTTTTAGCTTGGGACATTGCAGTTTATTCTCTCTAGGACTGGCCTCTGCACTGCCACATTTGCCCATGTGATTGCACCTGCAGTGGCCCTGGCATCAAGTATACAGTACTTGTGTTTTTTAAAGCTGCAATTTTGTGATATGCTATGACCTGATCTAAGTGTGGGCTGTCACTGAAGGAGGCACAGCTGTCTTTTTGCTCATGACTAATTTATGTGACAGGACCCCATACTAGAGTGGAGAATTTATCTGCCTGAAAAATAGTGTGGTTTCTTGTCCTTGTCATTTACAGCCAGATTTGTTCTTTCATCTGGCTCATTAGATGATCAGACAATAATGAGTGTTGCTACAAAGCAGAAGAGGAGAATGTGTACCCAAAGCAGAGGAGAATATGTACCCTAGGCAGGATAGGATGGCAGGGAACTTTTCTACTCTTTTTGGTGGTAGTCATACTCATATTTTCTTAAAACATTGGGAAAATCATAGCCAAAATGTTTTTTTCAGGTGAGACACACCAGCAATCAAACTAGTGTCCACTATGCAACTTCAGGCCATGCAAAAGTAACTCTGTTTTGTTGAAGAACTTGTACCATCAAAATGATTAACCAGTTCTCTTCCTTTGTATCATTCTTACCCTTGTCTAACTTTACGTTCTGTATCACCTGCCACAAGTAAATCTGACTTCTTGTTATCCTTTTGCCATCCCTTCAAATAGCATTAGCAAAGGGAAAGAATTAGTGCAATATCTACTTGAATAATGTAAGCACATTTAACAAAAAAAGAAGCTGCAACATGATACATTTTCTACTTGTCTTTTAATTTAAGTGAAAAATGTCAGAAGGAATACAATTTAGGCACATTAATCGAGATTCTGTGCCAGTATAAATCAATTTAACTCCAACAGTGGATCCAGACTCCAGCTTTAAGTGAATAAAATAATATGGTCTGTCCAGGAGGAAGGAAAAAAAAAGGTGATAATTTATAAGAAAAAAAAAAAAGGAATCTATATTTATTCTGTTGATGACATCTGTATCCAATTTCCTTGGACTGCAACTAAAAGTCGGCTTTATTTGAAAATGCCAGAATACCCAAGCCATAATTCCATGGTAGGAAGCATTTTTCCAGTAGCTGCAGAAGGTCTACAGAATTACATTCTCAAATACTTCATTCTGCTCCTGTGCTTCATTAATTGTTATAGACTAAAAATAATCCAATTGCATCTGGTTTTGTTTTCTTTGGCATGCAAGTCCCCAAAACCACAGACTTGCCAAAAGTAATGCAATTACAAGTAAAGGGCAATGCTGGATTGGGAGATCAGACTTCTCTAAAATTAATATTGTGGGGAACCAGTATGGACCTGGGTGGCAGTACTGAACCAAGCCCTCACCGGTACAAAGTGCTGTGGTTGCATCATATTTAGAGACAACAGTAGACATGACACAGAGTTTCATAACCTACAGTTCAGAAAACCATCCAGCTCCTGCACTGCTATGGTAAACTGCAGCACTAACCATAAGGATCCATCAGTTTGCCAGGAGGCTTGTCTTGAGAACAGCAAGAAGGTAGGTCCATTGGGCAGATGGTGACTTTTTTATACCATCACTTTTGCAGCTGTTCATTAAAGGTTGATTAATAGACTGCGCTTGCCACTACATTAATAAGATTTTGATGTTGGGTTTTTTTGTCCAGAGATTAGGAGGGAAGGTTCCCTTTCTCCTGTGAATTCTCAAAAAATCACCTTGTTGCTGCAATCTCCAGCTGTGAAGTTCATCACCAATCCTGAGTTCTTCACTGTGCTGCATGCAAACTATGTGAGTAATTAAGATTTACTCTCTCACACTACTGATTTCTGAGTCCAAATGCTGTGCCCCAGGTGTTTGGGGAGAATGCACAGTGAATTTGAATTGTGTGATTTGGGGGCTCAGTTGTCCTTTCTGAATATAATGTCCCCCAGGTTGGGAACATTATAGGCAGGCTGCTCCAAGGAAACTCTTGATGGGATGCTGCCTCATGCAAGAAATTCCCTGAAATAGAGAAGCTCATTAACGTTATCCTCCCAGAATAAGAAGGAGCCCTTGGTTTCAGCTTGATTGATTCTGTTGTCTGTTGCTGCAGGGACTGAGGTTGTTGCCTTTTGAGACACGTTCCTGAGAAATCTTACTCAGATGCCACCAAGTCCCGGAGAAATAGAGGGAAAAAATTTACTAATGCAATTTGCATACCCAAGAAGCAGGCAGGCATAATGGGGTGAAAGAAATACTGATTTGGGACAGTGTAGCTATTCTATTATAAAACACAAATTAAAAAAAGTTACAAATTCAATAACTTTTTTTTTTTGTTAATGCTGTAAAACTACACATTTTCTTGCAAACCTGGTGTGGAGTGGAAAAAATACCAGGAGGAAGCAAATAGGGAAGTCCCACAAGGAGACAGTTCTAAAGTCCTGTGTCTTAAATGTAGATCAACTAGGCATCTACACATGACTTCTGAATATTTGGAAAGTCATCCATTTCTGGATAGCAATGGCCTTTCTTTTTGGAAAGAAAAGAAAGTAAAACACTTCAAGAGTTGCCTCAGCACAGGTTTTTAGCTAACTACAGACCTCAGGTTTTGGCTGTGGCACTTTGTGGATTGCAGCCAGCTGTCCATCTCCAAGCATCTGCCAGAGATTATTGCCCATGAAATCCTGCAGAGGAAGGGATATATTAGCTCATCTGACATTACCTGAACTAGGTTATGGAGTGCACATAATTTCTTCCATTGGCAGGGTGATACACAATGATTTATAGTTGGGAGCAATGTAATTTTCATTCATCATAGTTGTTTGAAAACTGAGCAACTGATTCCGTGGTTGTCTAAAGAACAGCTCACTAGAGACTAAATCCCAGTTTTATTTCTCACTGAAATAAAAAAAAAAAAAGCCAAAAGAGGCCTTCAGTTTGAGCTTATAAACTTGTCTCTAATATGAGAACCAGAATAACCTATTGAAACATCTGTCAAATGGTCATACAGATTCCACTTGTACAGAAATAATGGCCCACATAACTTTTGGCTTAACATGGGTCTAATATTTTAACCACAAGGCCCTATTAAAATTTCAAGCTATTAATTGTGCCCGTGAAGTCTGGATTGGAAAATATTATCCAGCAGTTAGAATTAAAAGGGAAAGGCTCTCATATTTCAGGTATTTTATTTCCATGGAGAGATAAACTACATTACACTCATTGTTTCCCAAATGCAGCTTAGAGATACTGAAGTCTGTCACTGATGATACATTAGATCAAAATACAACTTTTGTTATGGAGTAAGCTGGGATCTTAACAATTTGTGACCATGAAGCTTTCCTTGGGTTATAAGTAGGTCATATCTCCAGGGCAGAGATCCTATCTTTGTGATTTCATAACACTTACCAACCTTTGCCATAATTAGGGACCCTGTGCTGCAGAGAGTGTTCTCAGTGGTGCTGCCACAATAAATCCTTACATTATAAAGACAATGCTTGTAAGTGCCTAATTGCATTATAATGGTTAAAAAGCATTAAAAATACACAGAAAATGAGAATTCAGAGCTGTTGGGTCAGATTCTCTGAACAGATTCTCTGGACATATGCCAGGTCTGCACTGGGGCTCACTTCACTGGAGATATGAGTCCTCCAGTGATCCTTTATCACTTTAATGAGCAATTCAGTCCTTTGGGCTGACCAGCAGAACCAAGTCGTTTCTTTTCTCTCCAGGGATATGCTCAGGAGGATTGCGGTTTTTTGTGAAGTTTCCTGCTCTGTCTTGTGGAGCTTTGTCCCTGAAGTGAAAGATCCCAAGAGCAGCCTGTGGATGCACCTGTATTTAGTCACCACAAGTATTATCTTGTGGTGCTCTGTCTTTGAATACACTGTGGCAGCAAATATAGTTCACTTTGGCTGCTATTCTGCAATTAGATCAGCACTAACTCATTTGAGCTGCATCAGGACATGTTCCCCAAAGAGGTGTATTTAATGCCCATTGTGAGATACAACTTGCTGCCTGAGAGGTGACATTCATCTGACTCATGGAAATGTTTCCATCTGACATGCTTTGTAGTAATCATAGAAACAAATATTCAGTTCCAGGAAACAGTTCACATCTTCCAAAAATAGGCAATTGAAAGTGTCTGTTCCTGTACTGTGGCTATATAGTGACCCTAAATAAAGGTATCGAGCTTAGATGTAGAAATCCTCACTGCAGTCCTCTTAAGTTCATGAATCCTATCACACACATCTTGATTTCAATTCTAGCATAAATACATGTTCACAGCTGGCTTTATGTCTCTCTGGCAACATCCAGGCATACAAGCAGTGTATCTGTTGGCCAATAAAAGCAACAAAATGGGTACAACTATGTGCATCTTGAGTGTGTGATGTTTCAGCTGACCGTCTTTGTGAGGTGCATTAGAAAGGCAGTTCATGCACAAGATAACTGTGGGTAATATGTGGGATGTTTTACTTCCCATATTGTGTATCTTAATTTTTGGTGTTTGTGTAGTCGTTCAAATCAAAACAATTAGATGGAAATGTGGCTTGATTCTAACAGGATTTATTTCAGTTCTTTGGGCATATGTCCAATGAAATAACCAAACAGACATCAGAACTGGTTTTCTTCACTTCTGTTTTCTATCTAATAGAGTGCCTATCGAGTCTTCACTAACAGTACCTGCTTGAAGCATATGATTCTGAAGATTCGTAGAGATGCTCGGAATTTTGAGCGGTATCAGCACAACAGAGACCTGGTAAATTTTATCAACATGTTTGCTGATACCCGACTGGAGCTTCCTCGCGGCTGGGAGATAAAAACTGACCAGCAGGGCAAGGTAAGAGTGCCAACAAAGCTAATCACTTGTTTAACATAAGCACATCAGGTTGCTTGATTGTTAAAGGTTCTTTCCTTCTTGACTCAAAATTGGTGAAGGTTTGGTTTAAAAAACACAAGTAGCAGACTTATTTTAGAAGCCAAAAAAAAGCTTCAAGAACAAATGTTTCAAAAAATTTCTAGCTTTGTGTAGAATATTGCACCATAGCAAAGGCAGCATTGAACTGACACAAAGTTTGAGCCAGAGTAGATCTGTTGTGACTGCAAAATTTGACTTAGTGTCTCTACCTCCAATGAAGCTTTGCTGAGTGACTTTTGGAACCACTAGATAGGCTAAAGCAGCATTTCCCAGTAATTTCATTATCTTCTGTCTTGTTTGCTTCATGGCTGTTACATATGCTTTTGATCTACATAGTTTCAGGTATTTTCCCAGAGCTATTCCAGCTTCAACTATGAAAGTCCTGTCAATTGCAGATATCTTCCATGTATTGTACTTAACTAAGGTAGTTCTGACATACAATTGCCAGTGGCTTTCACACTGTGTTCCCACAATACCATCACAATGTTAGCAGTCTTATAAAAACACATTTTTCTTTTGTGTTTCAGTCTTTCTTCGTTGACCACAATAGCCGTGCTACCACTTTCATAGATCCCAGGATCCCACTGCAGAATGGTCGTCTCCCTAATCATCTGACTCACAGGCAACATCTTCAGCGACTTCGTAGCTACAGTGCTGGAGAGGTAACTGTGCTAGTATCAATTCAGGAGCTTTTGACAGGAGATTTCTGTATCATTAAAAGCACTTCTTATCTTTTAAAAGCATTGAAACAGATTCTCTTTGAATTTTTATCTTCCAAAGACAATATGGGATTTTTTTTCTTCCTGATGGGTTTATTTCAGAACTTGCTGGTAATGAAGTTTTATATTTTGATGGTTTTCAGAATAATAAGCAGGTCAAACTTAACTGAAGTGAAATGATGACAAAATAGATTTTAAGAGAAGAATCCATATTTGACATCCTGGTCTTGCTTTACTAAAGTCAAGTCATTCATTATTTTTATAGCCTGATACTTCAGCAGCCTCATTCCCCACTGGGACACTGTGCTGTGAAAAGATACACTCTGCAGCAGTAGTGTAGTAATGTATGTTGAGGTTTGCTTCCCTAGCTTTCAGGGACATTAAACATCTTTCCCATGTTTCATGGGGATATCTTTGATCACTGAGGGCTATGGACAGGATTGAAAGAAGCATAAATACTGTGATTCTATTGTGTATTTAAGTAGGAAAAAGTAACAGCAATCAGATTTCTTCATATAGCAAATCCATACAGTTGAAGATTTGTAAAGATTGATGCTGAATAGATAGAGATGAATTATGGTGAAAGGATCTTCCTGTTCCAGAAAAACATCCAGAGAAATGCCTGTGAAATTAACATCAAAATTTATTGCTGCAGAACCAGTCTGAACACCCCTCACTGCCAGCTAGGGGTGGGATCAGGAGCTGACTAGAGTGTGAGGTCAGTTCTTCAGGACCAGAGGCAAACCAGGCACGAGTAGCTTGGGTATTTTTTCTCCATCTTGGGTGAATATGGCAACATATTTTCTGAAGATGGAAGTGTATCAATGGATCTGTTTCAGTCATCTCTTCCCACCAGCTTAGCAACTTCCCTCTACCAACAGCCTGCAGTTTAGTGTTGCTATTGTGTTTGAATTACTGGCAGAAGTGTGATAGCCACCTGCTCGATGATTCATATTTGTGCCCATGCTTGCCTGGGGCTTGCTTACAAATTCACCACGTCATGGACAGAAACACCACTGAGCAACTCATATGACCTAGCCCAAAAACTACACTTGGTTTTGCAAGCACTAGCAAGGCTGGCAAGGAACAATTTGCAATAAACCCAAAACATCAAGTGCAGGGAAGTGAGTCAAAAGTATTGAATACTTTTGAGTAATGATTCTCTAGGGAAATTGTAAAGTGTTCATTGCAGCCACTGATTTGACACAATCAGCCAATGAGACAGGACTTTCTGTCTTGGGAGCCATCCATGTTGGCACCGTCACCCCACAGTCGTTGACACAATCAGCCAATGAGACAGGACCTTCTGTCTTGGGAGCCATCCATGCTGGCACCGTCACCCCACAGTCTTGGTGGCCCAGGTCCCACAGTGCTTCTGCACTCTTGTCATAGTCAGTAGCTTCCCCTTTGGAAGTGTCTGCTGCTCCACTGGAAGGGTTCCCATTGATTTCCAAGGACTTCGGATTGATACCTAAAAGCCCACAGTTTACAAGGAAAAGATTCAACCCTTTGCAACTCAGCCCACTTATTAAGAACCTCATGTTCCATGCCATTTCCTATAAGTGTATGTGGATGTTCTTTTGTCCTGTAAGTCATGTCTGGTAGAGTCACACTTGGGGCTTTGTCCTGGCCATTTGTCAGCTGTCTGCAGGCCTGCTGGTTTCTTTGCTGAGCAGATGGTGTGGCCTCTGGAATCTGTCACCAGGACAGTATGAAGGACCACAAAAGAAAATTACCATTTTGAACACTATGTACAGATGTCAAATGAGCCTGAAGGAGACCAAAACAGTGAAGCTTGTGGGTGCAAGAGAGGGTATAGAAAAGAGCCTGGGTAGTGAAATAAAGGACCTTTGCAAAGAGTTCTGTTGTCCACCTGTGGAGATTACTGATATTAAATGGTACTATATATAAATTTGACAAAAATGCTACAGGTTCTTTAGTAAGCATTTCTTTAAGGGTGTCAGTCTTTTACAGGAAAAAGGTGGTTGATGCTACTCATGGTTAGCTGATTTTTGAAAGAAATTTTCAGGTAGCTGTACTGGCCAGCAGTAACTAAAAGAGCAAACTTTTCTAAGTGATTCATTTCCTTCTACCACTGCCTTAAGCAGAACAGGTCAGAAGCATTTTCTATTCCTTTTAAGAGACTTTCCATCTGTAGTGGAAAACAATATATATGATTACAGGGTAGAGGTTTTAAAGACAGAAAGAAGAAAGAAGCAGGCATCCACAATGGAGAGGCAAGAGTTGCTGGCTGGCTGGAGTTGCTGGTTAGCAAGAAAAGCAGAGGAGGTACTGGAATATAACAGTATATACATCTCGTTACTGACCCCAACAGCAACAAGCAAGTAGACTGCAAGAATCAAAGCAGATTCAAACAGGCAAGAGACTCTCAAATCCAGCAGCGATATAAAACCCAGGAAAGGGTAAACTTGAAAGGCTCCTGTGATAGTTTGGACTCTCCACTCTGGTTGCAACATCCCAGTATCAATTTCAAAGCTGTTAAACCCTGCCATAAATCTGTCAGATTGCTCTGCACTAGAAGAGCCAGGTCACTAAATCATTAGAGGGGCTCTTTTTTTTTAATTAGAGAATAATGTGCTAATCAAAGTTAAATGATTCAATTAGAAAGTCAAAGTAGGCAAGGCAGTTGTGTTTGAACACTGAATTGGAGCAATGAATTGTGCTCTATTAGCTAAAAGGTTGGAAAGAGAAGTGTTAGCAAAATGAAAGTTAATTAGACAGCTGGGATTTTTCCTGTTGTGTTGCCAGAGAAAAATTGTTTAGAGGTGTAAACATGATCCAAACACAGCATTAGCATTGCCTAAGGATGGTGATGAAGAGAAGTACAGCACCACAGCATGTGCAGTTTATTGTATCAAGGTGAGTACAGAACTGGATTCTTACAATCTGTTTGAATTCATCTGTTAAACTAGAGCTAGGAAGAAGGGAGTGAAGGTTTCCTTTCAGAATTCTTTCTTCAGGAGAAATATGTCCAGGCATACTACTCAGCAGCACTGGAAAGCTAGTCAAAGAAAATTTAAAAAAATCAGGCGACATCAGCACTGGAAAGCTAGTCAAAGAAAATAAAAAAAAATCAGGCGACGAGCAAGGGGAAGATGCTGGGCAGAATGCAGTTCCCAAGTGATGAGCAAATACCAACTGGTGCTAATTTTTATGGGAGATGCATGTTTTACTGCTCTGTTATTCCTCGCTTTCCCCCTTTCTATCTTCTGGTCAGTAAATCTATGCTCAGCAACAAGGACATAGAATTTGTCTTTGTCAAGACTATCTTCTGGTCAGTAAATCTATGCTCAGCAACAAGGGCGTAGAATTTGTCTTTGTCAAGTATGAGTCAGAGCTCACCCTTAAAAACAGGCTCAGCCACCATCTGCACTCCCAGGCAAGTCTGTTCTACGAGGACCTGAGGAAGAGGCATCTGATCTCCAGAGCTCCCTGGAAGTGAAGAAACTGAGCACAACACAGTACCTTAGTACTGTCCCAGACATCCTCACTAGTACAACTGATCGCAGGCCAGTGTGCCATCCTGACTGTGCTGCACACAGGTAGCCTGAGAAGGGCTTCATGCTCACTGTGGCAGTGATCATAGGGCATCTCTTAAACCTAAGCTTCCTCCTTCTTCCACAGCATAGAGTGAATGCCATAAAGGCCACAGAGTGCTTGTGGGGTAGATGCCTGGGTCACAGGGCAAAAGCTATCTAAGCCTGAGCTAAGCTTCCAGTGTCAGTTGGCCTGTGGGGTGTGAGGAAACAAAGGCAAAAGATGAGTGCAAGTGAAATCATAACTGAGTGATGGAGCGAGACATTTGCCATGCACTTTCACAGCAGTTTTGTGTTTTCGATTGCAGTATGCTTTATTAGAAACATCAAGATTTTCATTGCTTAACCTGTGTATGGACATGCATCATGTGCATTGACTGGTATCTTGTTACATATAAACATTTTATGTTTTATGGGCTCCAGAAGGCAACTTGCCAGTCACATGCAGCTTCTCAGTTTTCATTTATATCCAGTTGGAAGACCTGGCATTTGGCTGTACCACTGAAAATGGGTTGGCACCATTTGCTTGGATGCAGAGCTAAGCATTTAAAATATTGGAGTAGGGGCAATTTCTTCCTGAAGTGGTTGCCAAGTACTACAATTTGTGCAGTGAAAAAGGAACTGCTATTAGTCCAGTAGTGCCAATTTGAATTCCTATCACATCTTGTCCTGATACAGGCTGTCCTCACAGGCGAAAAGTGTTATAACTGCAAGGGGAAATGTCTTCAAATGGAAAGAGGGTAGGTTTAGATTAGATATTAGGAAGAAATTCTTGACTGAAGACACGACACTGGCACAGGTTGCCCAGAGAAGTTGTGAATGTCCCATTCCTGGCAGTGTTCAAGGCCAGGTTGAATAGGGCTTTACCTGGTCTAGTGAAAAGTGTCCCTGCTGGTGGTAAGGGGGTTGGTACTGACTGATCTTTAAGGTCACTTCCAACCCAAACCATTCTATAATTCCTCTGTTGGATTCACTGTGACCGTATTCTGTAGGAACACATGAGAGACAGGTGGGTTTCCCTCAACTTGCACAAGTCCCCAAAGAGTAACCCATCAAGTAATGCCTTGCCAAAGACAGGCTGCCAGACCTCATTGTTTGGCTTCTAATTTTCTCATACCTGAGTGGTTTTCCACCTTTTAATGTATCTGCCTTTCTGACATGATTCCCTTCACTAGATAATGTGTTTAGAACAGTGGCTTTCTTTAAGTGCCTTTGTTAAGGGGCATGATGAATTGCCTTCTTACTACCCCTTTGATCAACTCTGTATTATGTTCTTTTTCAGTGCATACAGTTTGAATTCTGTTTCTGGTTGTACAAGTTAGGCAACCTGCTTTTTGGATGTCATAGCCTTTTTGTGTCCTGTGACATAGATAGATATACCTTCCTTATGTTATTTCCAGCATTAAACTTCCCTTCATCAGTGCTGAGTGAACATGTTGCAGTGTTGGAGGGGGGGTTCTCTTTGCAAATGAACATTTTTGTGAAAACCTTAAGGTAAATACAATTATGCTGGGACAAGAGACTGTATGATATTACAGAGATTTTATTTTCATTGAACTAGAGAACTCCATCACTGCAATACCTTTATTAGCGTGCATTTACTTCTGGATTCTGGTGCCTTCACTGCAACATCAGAGAGGTGTGATAGGTATGGATAATGGTGTACCTCCTCTCGGAAACTCAGGATTACTTGGCTTTTTAAAATTGACTGAAATATAAAGCTGGAATTTTCATGCATGCTTTCTGTCCTTCAATGACTCAGCATCAGGGACCATTCTGAAGGTCACAGAAGTAAAGATGAGAAACCTTTTAACTGACTGATGTGCTACCAATGGTCAGTTTTGATAATTCTTTTCCTTTCCTCTGATGTTGTAGGCTTCTGAAGTTTCTCGAAACAGAGGAGTTACTCTGTTGGCCAGACCAGGCAATAGTCTTGTAACAGCTATTCGAAACCAGCACCATCATGAGGCATTACCTCTGGGTAAGCCAAGTTTCTCTTTTCTTCTCAAAGCAGTGCTCACAAAGATGCTTTTTAGAACTTCTCATCAACCACATACACTGCTTTACGTTGCTCTGTGCCTCACTGGCAGTGTAGTCAGTGTGCCCCTGCAGAGTTGTGGTGACATGACTGGGCCCCCTTAATGGTGAATAAAGCCTCTGGTTTGTTTTTTCCTTTTTCAGCTTACAATGACAAGATTGTTGCATTTTTACGCCAACCTAACATTTTTGAGATGCTGCAGGAGCGTCAGCCCAGCTTGGCCAGAAACCATGCACTCAGGTACTGGTTTTTTTCCCCAAACTGCTGAAACCAAGTTCCAGGAAGGATTTCTTGTAGCGGGAAAAACCAAATTCTAGCAACTGTGATACAAAAGGTGAACTTGGGCCCCATATGGCGCTGTCACCATCAAAGAGTAGATGTGAATCAGCAGGATCAATGTGGTTACTATAGTTATTTTCCACAGACATCCAAGAAGTAAGAAAAACCAAAATAACTATGGGCAAATAATGATATATCCAATTTCTATTCTAAGTATTGCTGAATAGCAGAAACTCTGTCTTACCTACAATTATCACTTTGCTTTTCAGAAGATAGGGTTAAAATTGTGCTTGGATGAAGTCATCAACAAAACCCAATAAGTCCTGTAGAACCAGGATTTTACTTTGTGGTGGGATTTACACCCATACCATGGACATAGTTGCCCTAGATTTTATAAAGAAATTGGAACATTATGACTTGGATTGTACCCTTGTCTTTCTCGCTTGACATAATGGTGTCTTTTTTATTCTTCTGTCCATTCCTTGCCTATTGGGATTTTAAAAAACGAATGAAAACATTCCTTGCCTATTGGGATTTTAAAAAATTAATGAAAAACCAAAAAAATACCCAAAACCCCACAAAACAACAGCAAAAAATACCCCAAAAAACACCAAACCGAACAAAACAAAAGAAACCCCCACAACTAAACACCAGTACAATTTAAACTAATTTGAATTCCAAAGTTTGAATTAATTTTTTTTGGCCAAGAACTTAAGCTAGTGTTAATCAGGCTCAGCAATGCCAGGATGCACCAGCTAAGAGTTGGACCAAAAGTTTAGTTTGTACTGTGCAGTAAGAAGTGCAGCTGCAGGCTAAGAGTTGGACCAAAAGTTTAGTTTGTACTGTGCAATAAGAAGTGCAGGTGCATGACTGCTGAAGGAGGAGCAAAAGAAGGACCTTCAAGTTCCTGCAGTGCAGTTTCTTCTGGTAGCCTTACTGACTCATTGCTTACCCATGAGGGCCAGACAAAGAGTTCTTTGGGTGTAAGGATTAAACTTCCTTCCTGGAGGAATTAATACATTCAAATAAAATGAGAGAGGCAGGATGAAAAATGCTGTCAGTGTTCAAGACGTACATTTCTGTAACTGAGAATTTCTTATCTTCACCATCAAATTATTCCAGACTACCTTTTTTCCCTCAGCTGTAATTTGAATTCTCGTTTTTCAGAGAACAGATGATGCTTTTATCTCCTTTCGAGCAGAGAACAAAATTGACTGGTGATAGGGACTAGACAGCTTAGCCAGTGTGTAATGAGATTTGTAACAGGATATTGAGCCCTTTGCCTCCAGGTCATTGCTGATTATACCTTGGGTCAGGAGTGATCCCAAACTACTGTCTAATGCTTATACAGCAGATGTTAAGTTATACCTTGGGTCAGGAGTGATCCCAAGCTACTGTCCAATGCTTATACAGCAGATGTTAAACTAACTCCTGGGAGACAAATGTCCATCTTTAACAGAGTTTGATTCTGCAGTACATTACAGTCCCACTCATCAAGGTACTAAAGCACATCCTTGACTTCAGGTAGAATATTTTGACTTGTTACTAGAATGAATATATTTGGACAGTGTGATGGTTTAGAAACACATTGACAGGCTGGGATGTAGATGTGTATCTTCCATAATCCTAATCTTCTGATAGGATCCTATCCTATGTTTCCCACTCTGTATTAGCAAAATGTATGATTTTACACATCTAACACATTTTTACAATGTATAACCTCTGTGTGATCAATTTGGATCAAGTACATGTTAGTGTTATTTGCCAAATAGAACTGTCAGAGGTAAAGGAGGTGGTATTATGTGAAATTCTGTTAACAAAATGTGGTATGCTAGTTGTAGATTTAAACAAAAAATCTGCTGTCACTGACCAGAGCTATACGCATGAACTTGGAGGACTAAGAATCATTGTTTTCTAAAATATGAAATAAAGTCTCTTGATTTTGGATCAGTAAACTGAGTGATAGAATTATTTTTGCAGGTTTGTTAGTGAGATTAGAAAGCGAATCAGGCAGCTAAGAAGTTTGCTATTTTTGTAAGAAGAGGAACAAGAACTAGCAAAATACCAAGGAAAAATAACTATGTGTAGTTCACGCCGTGATAATGGCATGTTTTCTTCTGGTTTGGTTTTTTCCCTTCTCAATAACATCATTTATGTTTCAGGGAGAAGATCCATTACATTCGGACAGAGGGTACACATGGGCTTGAAAAGTTGTCCTGTGATGCGGATTTAGTAATTCTACTGAGGTAATCAATTTGATCAAGAGCACAATGTCATTACTTACAGTACCAGGGGAGCTATCTGGCTCTTTGTCAGCATAATTGAAAAGATTTTCTTAAATCTTCCATACTGGTAGCCATCCAAAATAATTCAGGCAGTGTATGTCTGTCAATTCATACTTCCTGGAAGGCAGCCTCCATCAGTGTATTGAACTCCATCCCCAGCCAGCTCAGTCAGTACAGATGTTACTATCAAGTAGCAGATAAAATAGAATCAGGTCAAAGTGTTTCCTTTTAATGGAAAAATTCTTGTTTCTTTTTCCTTTTTTAAAGAGGAGAAAAAAAAAGACGGACAAAATTCTTTTATTTCTCAGTACAACGATGTAATTTCTCATTAAATTATCAGTTTTACCATAGCAGTGCTGCCCACACATGCATGAAACCTCAAGGTGCAATGCAGTGAGCATTGCTTGGGTAATGTAGCTAAGGCTTCAGTTTTAATTGGAACCAGGGAGCTTGGTCTTTTGGTCCTGGCTAGGTCCAGCACAGATGAGGATTTATTTTATTGTCTTGGTCTTGCATGGAAAATGTTGCTTACCCTGGTGGTTTTGATATGTTTATATACCACTGCCTTATGCAAGAAGTTTCCAACTTATTCCCATCAATTTAATTCAAATGGCCAAAGCACTGAGCTATATGAAAATGTACTACCCAAGAAAAACAACCTGGGACACAGGTGTATCTTTATCTCTCACTGCTAATGTGTTGAAGATGTCCCTGTTTACTGCATAGCCTCACATCTTTGCTCTCTGTCAGTAGACTGTCAGTAGACATTAGCACAAAATGTCTGTAAAATTCCTTTTGTTCTTCGTAACTGGTGACCATATTTGGCTGTATTTGGGAAACCTGTGGATTTTTTTAATCCATGAGTTCAGAGGTGCACCCAAACTTAGGACACAGCAGACTTGCACCATACTGCATGTTTACATTCCTTCATGAATGTGAACCAAATCTCTCCCTATTACTTTTTCCATGCAGCCTTTTTGAAGAGGATATTATGTCCTACATACCACTGCAGGGTGCCTTCCATCCTGGTTACAGTTTCTCTCCTCGCTGCTCACCCTGTTCATCACCCCAAAATTCTCCAGGTAAGGAAATGGGGAAATTAAGACAAATCTTGCCTTTGTGGTCTTTCTCCTAATAAATTGAAAGGAGCAGATTCAGAGCCAGCATCAGCTGTCAGCCTTCTAATTCCAGTGCCTACTCCGAATCTGATCCCAGCTGCTTTTTCCTGGATCATTTGCTGGTGCTCTTATGTGTCTGTTGAAATGTTAGTGGTAGCAAAAACACAGAGATCAGAAATTGCCCATATGGAAGAAGGTATTTTCCTGCTTTTTATATAGTTGGAAAGGATAAGGATGAGAGAATGGTGCACTCCAAGCATAACTCACTGACATGGAAGTACATTTATATTATGTGACAGGAGCAAAGAGCAACTTCCAAAGGTGTATTGCAGTATTTCCAGTACCCCTGTAAAGTTTAGTCTCCTCCGCTCAGTGTTCCAAAAACTTGTCTTCTTCCCAAGGCTATTTTAAGACCTGAGGGGATCATCCTCATCATCTAGTCTGACCTCCTGTGTTGAGCCCATTAACTGGGGTTTGACGGGAAACATATTTTCCAGAAACATATGCTGTCTGAGAAGGTTATTTCCAGCTATGCTATGTCTCTGTAGTTATTGTTTGTGATATAGAAATTTGAGGAGCTAATGTCTGCCTTTTGCCAAGATATACAGCCCCCACCACAGTCTCACTGCATGGCTGTGTCCAGTGGCCATTTTGAAAGAATTGACAGAATTGTGATCTGAAGAAATCCATTTTTGGCTCAGCTTTTTGAACATTAATTTAAATTATCTGATTTCAAACAAAATTAATGGACAAGAGAAATTCAAGTCTTGGAGGTGACTGTGGAAAATTGGAAGTTTTTTTGATATGGAAGAGTTAAATGCTGAAACCCTGTCTATAGGAGGACAGTGTTCTGTCAGAATGTCTGATTTCCATTAATGAGTTTTGATACCATCATTAAAACAGTTCCATTCCTCTACATCAGGACATGTCATAAACAACAAACAGGACAACAATCTAAGTATTTGTCACAAATGTGACTTAGGAGACTGTTAAAAGAACTGCACTGTTCCCTACCTGTTCTTGAGAAAACACAAGAAAGCAAATACTTATTTCTGGCAACATACTGTCTGCTTGCTCATTTCTGTCACTGGTTAGAGAGCCCATGAGAACTGTCATATGTCCTAGGGGGAAAAAAAGTCTAATAGAAGAAAAGAAATGTCACAAGAGATTCACTGTGCACTGTGTGTAAATATACCTTTCTGTTTCACCAGCAGAGACAGTTAGTAATGTCCCTCCCACCTGGCAACCACAATACTTTGGGCTCCCTCTAAATATGATGGGGGTTTTTTGCCTTCCTTTAAGAAAAGAAATGTCACAAGAGATTCACTTTGCACTGTGTGTAAATATACCTTTTTGTTTCACCAGAAGAGACAGTTAGTAATGTCCCTCCCTCCTGGCAACCACAATACTTGGGGCTCCCTCTAAATATGATGGGTGTTTTTTGCCTTCCTTTGGAGCATTTGCTGCCAGATTTGTCATAAAAGGGCTTGTTTTAATTGTCTCTGTAATGAGATAGGCAAATGGGATTTCATGGATCCATTCTTTGACCCTTTATGGCATGGCGCTTGTTTATACAAAAGGAATAATCAGCTACTTTGAGAATACAGCCTTCAAAACAAAGCAGGTCCCAAATTGGTAAAAATCTGCTGTATGTGTGAATCATAATAGGGAAATGTTGCATTCCTTGCTGACAGAAATCCTGCTGATGCCACAAAGGGGTTTTGTGTTGATAGCTGGAAGTGTTTAATATACAGTCAGATTAACACAGGGAAACCCGATTCCCAGCTTGGCTAGGGTGCTAGGCTCCAGTGAATAGCATTGCTCTGAGTTCCAGAGGTTTAATCCTGCCAAGTAAGGAGATCTTCTATACAATGCAGAGGAGAGAGATTGCTTAAAAGTACAAGAGGGAAATAAAACCGTAATGCCACTGACCATGAGTGGCAGTTATGCATAGCAGTCTTTCTCATGCCTTTCTGATCCTTGAGTTTCCGTTCAAATCAATCACAGTTAAAGACTGAGGTAACACAAGGGCACACACAAGATCAACTTAACTGTTATTTTATTGAAGAAGATACAGCCCCTGGAAGTCGTTGCAATCACATAATTATAGGAACTTAAAACTCCACTGATGGCAGGCAGAACAAAACTAATACTGAGTGTAAACCTGTAAAAATTTCCTAACACATTTATTAGCCAGTTCTGTCTGGAGACATAAGCTGCATGATTTGGAAAATTGTAAAGCCCCATGCACCTTAGGATGCTGTTCGTTTTTCCCCTCAGGACTGCAGCGAGCAAGTGCAAGAGCACCTTCTCCATACAGGAGGGACTTTGAAGCCAAGCTGCGCAATTTCTATCGAAAACTCGAAGCCAAAGGGTATGGGCAAGGTCCAGGTAAAATTAAGTAAGTATTATGACAAATTACTCAAATAGTCTAACACGTCAAAGCTTTGTCTTATATCATTAACCATGAAGACACTGATAGGGAGTGGAAAACACACTGGAGAATGCATTTTGTACATGAACCATCAGGGCAAGAGAACATCTTAACATGTTGTGCAAAAGATGACCTTCAAGAGGCTTTTGTATGAAGTTTTATTTCATATAGGTTCATACTCTCTTACACTTGGATTTGCTACATATTTAAGAGATATGTAGGTATTCCTACCTAAAATTTACTAGTAGGAGAATGATCCATTCAGGCAAACATCTACCAGATATTAACAACAGCTACATCATTGTGATGATGGAATGACTCCAAATTCTTTGCATCTACATACCAGTATAACTTAGGAACAGCATATGACCCTACAGAAGTTAGCCTGTACATGCAGGCATAATTTTCCATAGTTCTTTGTGTTGTTAGCCCTCCTGGATTTGAACTAGAGAGATTTCTGCCACTCTTCATGTATTTTGGGGATCTATGTCATTTGGTTGTGGCATTTGCTTTCCAAGTGTCTTGTTAATTGGCTCTTGAGTCTGTACCTACTTGTGCTCAATCTAGTTATCCAACTTTGCCAAAGGACTGTGTGTTTTTAAGGTATTTCCTGGGCATCTGGTTGAATTTATGAGTCAGGTTGCTTCCTACCAAATGACATCTGTTGTGGAAAAGAAGAAGTCAAGAAGAAGCCAAGCAATTTATTCCAGGCAAATGTCATCATCAAAATAATCTTACAGAGCTGAGTAGTTCTAGCTGGTGGCTACCCCTTTTTTTTGTGTCCTGCTAAGTGGGTCCAAGGCAGACATGAAATGTAATTTAGAAGGTCTGTCTTAAAATGTCCATGGACATATGAACAAGAAGGATTTCTTGCACAGATGGTGTTTAAAAGTGCTATTCATTAAGCTGTTTTAGAGGTTGGTAGGGGAGTGAGAGATGTATTCTGTAAACAAAGGCTGATACTCCCTTTGCTTCCCCTGCTACAGAAGCAATAATTTCATGGACATTCACTGGATTAAATCCAGGAAGTGTTTCAGGCCAGTTCCAGAAAGCTGTGATCTCATACACACAGAAAACTCACAGCTCCCTCTACCATATGAATTTGTACATAGAGGTTGTTGCAGAGAGTCTTAGCTGTAGAGCAACACTGTGAACCTTATCACAGCACTTTGAAGAATTTCACCTTTGAGGCACACAGAAAAGCCTAATGAAACAACTCACTGAAAACCCATAATGGTCAAGTAGCATGTGCAATTTTAGTAAGTTCTCTGAGAACAAATGTCTCTCTCTTTAGCAGCATTTGTTTACCTTCAGCCTTACAAGCTCACACAAGACTCAACCATTAAATCTTTATTTCTCCCTCCCTTTGCAGGTTAATAATACGACGTGACCACTTGTTGGAAGGCACCTTCAACCAGGTTATGGCGTATTCACGCAAGGAGCTCCAGCGGAACAAACTCTACGTCACATTTGTTGGCGAAGAAGGGTAGGAAACCACAAAATGCTATCTGCTTTGAAGTAGCTGTTATGGTGCAAAACACCAAGTTGATTAAGACTGAGCCTCTCTTGTTATGTAATGTTGCTTTGGTTTTGGTTTACCTCTAAGTGATTCATCTTAATCAACCCAAACATTTGTTAAAAATAACAGAAACATTAATGCTTCATTTTCCTATAACACCTTCCATCTAGATGTCTCAAACTGACAATTGAAATGGTTAAATGTCATCTTTTTGCCATAGGTATTTTGATTTGTTGGAAAGAAAAGCTCAACTACAGGCCAATGTTTGCACTCTGAATCAGCCTCAGGACTATAATTAGGGCCCAGACCTTTATCCACTTTGTTACTCTAACACTTCACAATGGATCTGGCTTTGCTTAAAAAATTTTGCTTTGCATGCCATCTAATGATCATTGGCTATCCATATGTGGATTTCTTGTATCTGGCTGAAGTGAAAAACACGAATGCTCTTTAGTCCTTATAGTTTAATTCACTCAGTTGGAAGCTGAAAGCAGTAGAAATCTCTTTGCTTTCTACCAGTCTTACAAATCCAGGAGCCATTCTTTATGATTGAAGCCAGCCCCTGACCTTTTGTTTCCAAATGCAGGCAGAACCTTGCAAAGCCACCCTGACTCACCTCAAGAGCTATGTTGTAATTGAGGCTTAATCCACACACTTTTATAATGGAAAGACCATTGTGCATATTTCCAGTGTTCCATATAACAAAGGCATGAAATTGTATTTCAGTAGCTTTGCATGTCAAGTTTCTTTTTTTCCAAAACCACATAGATAGGATTTCAGTTCCAAAGGTACCAGAACAGAATGGATCTTGGGCAGCTCTCATCATGTCCATCAACTGCTGACACTATCATCTCTGAGGTGGCATGTCATGTGAAGGGCTTCTGCAAAGCTAAGCTTGTCTGGGAACATGTTAGGTCCAGTGGAAAACAAAAGTCACCAGTCTCAAAGAGTCACTCATTGACATCAGTATCTGGGGTTTTTTTCACTCTTACTTTTTATACTCCATGGATTCACTATTATTTAACAGAGGTCTTCTTGCACAGCTGTTTTTGCCTCTGGCTTGTAAGTAAAGTATAACCATGTATCACACCTCAGTTTGTGTTTTTGTAATAGTATTCTGGTATGCTAAAACTGGCCAAAGTCATGTTTTTCCTCCCCATATCTAATAACTTCTATGTGTGTGGCATGTTATCCTCAGGAGAAATTACAAACCAATTTGATTTGCAAATTCATTCATTCTTGACTGATTCATTTACATCTGAAGATATATTCCTTCAGGCTTTCTGCTGCTTAATGCTAATATACATTCTGCTGGAGGGACTCCAAAACACCAGTTCCCTACTGAAAAAGAGGCGTTGATGCCGTATGGCCACATGATGCTGTATGGGCACAACTTCCCACATGTTTCAAAGCTAAAAGGACATTGAAAATGAACTGTGAAGGCTTTATGATGAGTTAATGTGTTGCCCAGAAATGAAATACCTGGTCTTCCCTTAGAGGTTTTTGCATATAGAAAGTGTTACTTGTAGTTCATTAGTCCAGCCATCATCAGGCTTAGCCCAGTATTTTAATGTCCATTGAACCAGATCTGTTCCATGGCCAACACTAGTGGGTCATGTGGACTTATTACCATCCTCTTTTGCTGTTGTGGCTTTAGTCTCACCATATGATCCTAGAGCTAAAGCTCCTCAAAGGGAGAAGGACTGAATCTCCAGATGTAAAATAGAGGAGGATGGGCCTGCCTGCCCTTTATCATCTTTCCAGTTGCACAAATAAATCATTCAACCCCTTGCACTTATGCTTCCATAACTTCAAACATAGTACAGAGCATTCTGATCCAGCTGCAGAGCTTTCCACTTACTTCACATTTTTTAAGTAGAAGGAATAGTGTCCACCTCAGAAAATCTTTTGGTATGCATGATATACAGCTACAAATCATTTGCTTATATCTCTACATGTAGGTTAAAATAAATTGAAAAAGCTACCTACCATTATTAGAGAATGATCTGTTTTTAATAAATCCATCACAGCTGGCCTTAATGCATTCATTACACTTTTTTGGTCTTGTTTTGCTTTGTTTTTTCAAGTCGAGGTAATGGGAAACAGCTTGATTTAAAAGTTGAGTTTAAAAAATGAAAGGAAAAAAGGTGACTCTCTACAGAGCAGATTCATGCAACAGCAAAGCACAGCTGAAGGTGTACCCCATAAAAGTATCACACAAAAGTAGAAAAGCTTGGATGCAGTAACTGAGGAATCGTTGTTGTATCTTAAGAGACACGATTCTGTTGAGATGTGGTCTTGTTCAACATACACCTTTAGGTTATAACTATAGCTGAGAAAGCATCCTTGGGACTAGATTTGGTTATATCTCGGTGTAGGAGAGTAAAAGCAATTTCTGTTTCAGTCCAGGCTGTCTGGTCTGTGAATCCAGGTGTTAATAGGCAGTTCAAACCCATTCACTAAAATGCTAGCCCTCTGCTAGCAAGCAGAGGCAAAGCTGAGCTTTGCTCTGATTTGCTAAGCCTTTGGAACAAAGGAAAATAAACTACGTAAGGGATGTGTCCCAGTTATGATTCCTCCCAGATCAGCCTGGATATTGGTGAAGTTTCAGCATCACAACTTGTTCAGGACTCAAAACCAAGTTTTGAGAGGAGAGATACACCCTGTTAGAAACACTTGACTGCACAAGCCACTGTGTTAAGGTAGCAGCCAATGCAGGTAAACCTAGGAAATTGATTCAAATGGTAAGGAACCTCATTTTGTCTCTTCCACTTTTTCCTTTCCAGGTTGGACTACAGTGGCCCCTCCCGAGAATTCTTCTTCCTTCTGTCTCAGGAGCTCTTCAATCCCTATTATGGGCTGTTTGAGTATTCAGCCAATGACACTTACACTGTACAGATCAGCCCCATGTCTGCCTTTGTTGAAAATCACCTGGAATGGTAAGAAGATTTTATGCAGAGTTGAACAATCATTTCAGAGCAATACAAAAATGGAAAAGTAAAACCAAAGCTGCCAGTTTAGACTAGACTAAATAGAAGTACTGCTTCTGCTGGGAAGAAATGTGAAGTAGGTTGTGGAAAGGAAGAGAGGGAGTAAGTATAAATACAAAAGCAGGCTCTGAAAAAGGAGTTGTGATGAGGTACTACTATTCAAATGTCCTGCTTGCATTACTTGGGACTTGATATTGGTATACCTCTGTGAGAATGTGAAAAGGAAAGGAGAAGAGCTCTGCTTAATACAGACCTAATCTCCTTGGTCCCTTTCTAAGAAGAGCAAGTGTGGTCTTTGTTTGTGTTTGAAAGCTATACAGTGTTCTCTAAGAGCCACACTGCTGCTCTGTACATACCATAGGCCTTAAAAAAGGCCCAGTGAAATCAGTTTCTGTTTTCTCCCCTGACAGAGTATCCCTGCTTGTGTGGGGCAGGGCCAGCATAGTGAGCAGGTCCTTTACCTTACCAAGTAGGTGTGCATACAAATTGCTGATCTTGGTTTCTTTATAAAAAATTCTGAAAGCATATTGTTGAGCTCTTCATTTTTTTATATTGCTGCCTCCAGATCTGTCTGTCTTTGGGAGCTATTTTCATTTTGATAGCTTCAGATGTGGTTCAGCATGGCTGTGACCCCTGGGCATCATTTGATCCCTTGTGGGATTTCATTTTGTCAAAGAAGTACTGCCACATGGGTTAGTTCCTATGATGTTTTTCTTTGTCAATCTAACTGGCTCCACTCAGAGATCCTTTTTTAAAATGGAAGGCAGTTCAGGCCCCTTTTAAGTTGCAAGTAGTGCATGTCCCTCTATTTCTGTAAACAGATCCTCCTTTGCTTGGCTTACAGCAGGCAGGAGATCAAGAACAGTTGTACCATCACCTCTACTGAGGTTGCAGGGGAAAAAAGAACTGTGCTTGGGACTAGCATGGTCTCTGAATAGTTGGGATTTTTTTTGTATTATCACTTCCAGCAGTGGAGCATTACACTAACAATGATCCTTGCATTCAAGTCTTTCTCTTCTGACATGAGCAGGAAAGAGAGCAGCTTAGTTCTTACAGTTTGTCCATTGCACACACTTTCCCACTGCACTCCTGTTCATTCAACATTATGCCGTGCCTCCCTAGTTTTCCAGAAGAAATATAGTCTGTCCTTTGTTCATATTAACAGACAGCAAACTTTTGATATAGGAGTCTGCTCTTTGTGGAGAGGTATTTTGATTTCAAGGCAGAGGACCACTTAGGCAGGTGCAAACCCAAGGTCATTCTGCCCACACTGTGAGCAAACTGGATGCAGGCCTCTGTCTCCAGAATTGGTGTTGCCAAGTTATCTCAGCAATGGTTGAAATAGGCCCTTACTCTTATGTGTTATAAACACTGTTGTTGTCAAGACTTGCTGCAAAAAGTATGTATGTTGTTTGATCCCTTCATTTCGTCCTTCTGTGCATGGAGAGATTTCAGCACGAGAGGCAGATTTTTAAAGGTATCCTGGGCATACAGAACAGCAGAAGGGCACCTAATACAATTTTCTGTAGCAGCTAGTATTTAGCTCAGAAATCAGCAGCAGTTAGACAATCCAGCTTCTTGCATGGAGAATGTTGTTTGGCCTTTGGGCCATTCTTGGTTGTTTTTTTTAGGAAAGATAAATTAAGTCTCTTGGACTGCAGAAGGAAATGAAGGCTATGAATGAAGAGGTTTGTACGTAAGTTTTGTAAGTAGGGCAAGATTGCAGGACCCAAGGGAAAGATAAGGAATCCAGTCAGTTCTTGGAAATACTTCTTGAACCTGTTATGGAAATAGTTGGCTGAGACCAGCAGCTTATAGTTAGCCTGATAGGTTTCATGATTGGCTTGTAGATATCTAGACATTCTAAATGTTTTTATGCTGGCTGTGTGACTGATAGCAGCCATTCACATGTGACCCGAGAACCCCAGCTAAGATAGGATTTGGACCAAGCTTTCTGAAGCACAAAAACTGCAATTCTCCTATAAAGCCTTCATAGGCTAATTTCTCAGAGGGCCCTGTACTAACTTGCTTTCATTGTTTGTTCATGAGGAATGGGGGTTTCTGACAGTCTCAGTCTTTCTCCAAATCCGTTCTCATCAAAGTCAGTGCTAAAACTTCTGTTTCTCAGATATACTTGTTAATATGATTCCAACAGAGCCTCCATCCTCTAACATGCAAGAGATAAAGATTATTTTCCTGTTCCCAAATCTCCTATGAAGCATCAAATCTCTATGCAGCATCAGTTAACATAGATGGATGAATCAGTTTGAGAGTCCCAGCGTTACAGATTATTAATATTCATAGTCTTTTCAATGCTTGAAGTTTGATGTCAGTCATGAAAACCACACAACCACAATTGGTTTAGATTTGCAGATTTCTTCAACTGCATGCTTTTTGGTGCTGTGGGGCTTATCACTTATGTGAAATCTACCCTTGACATGTTTTTCTGTATAGTAATTCTGCAAGGCATGGCTATATTAATAAACAGGGCTAGCAAGAAAATTCCCTAAAAATTGTTTTACATTTTCTCTTTCCTAAGCAACAGTGGTGAGTTTGAGCTGAATACAACAAAATGCAAAGATGGGAAACTTTGTTCGTACTGGCAGAATTGAGAAATACACTGCTCTTTTCCCCCAGCCTAAAAAGTTACAGTTCTTCCCTTTTAATGGCTTATTTCATGCTTTGCTCTTTGTACAAGTACCATTCTGAGTTCAAAATGAGCACATCAAAGTGCAGAGAAGTTGTATGTATGCCAAGTTAAGAAAGAGACATAATGACTGGAAAATATTTCTCATTTATGGAGAAACTGAGATTTAACACCTTTCCTGCAAGCTTCCATTGAGTAAGACTTTTTCCTTCAGTTAACATATGTATGTGCTGAACACACGCGATATAAGATACCACACATTTTCAAAGTTAAAAAAGATATTTTGAATCCCTCTGTATCTAAAAGGACACTGTCGTAACTCTCTAGACCTAAGAAGTTTGATGATACACATTTTTATCTGCATGCTACAGGATGTACTTGAAGCTTATAGCCAGAAGAGTTGCTTTTAATCCATGCCAGTAATAAGCCATTCTGTCTGGTCTAGGTAACATGTCTAGCTCTTTGCCTGGATATTTGAAAGTATCTTCTAAAATATTTTTGAAATACACCCTGGCTTGAGGTAGTTTGCCCTTCTCCAAATAAATGGGCAAAATGTGGTGGCAGCTGCTATGTATTATTTCAGTGAAAAGCATATGGTTTTGCTCAGAAGTAACATTCTTGTCTTTGCACTTGGTCAGGTGTTTTGAGCAACAGAAATTGGGTGAGTCACTGAAGAATTCTTCTCAAGTTCTGTTTAATATGCTGGGAGATGGAGTAGTGGGGAATATTAAATGTCATGTGACCGAGGACACTTGTTCTGTTCAGCCTGAAGACAAGACTGAGGGGAGACCTCATAGCAGTCTACAACTTCATTGCAAAGGAAAGCAAAGGGGCAGGCACTGATCTCTTCTCTCTGGTGGCTAGTGACAGGACCCAAGAGAATGGCATGAAGCTATGTGAGGAGACGTTTAGTTTAGATACTAGGAAAAGGTTCTTCACCCAGAGGGTGATTGGGCACTGGAACAGCTCCCCAGGGAAGTGGTTACAGGACCAAACCTGACAGTTCAAGAAACATTTGGACAACACTCTGAGGCACATGGTGCGATTCTTGGGGCTGTCCTGTTGGACTGGACTTGATGATCCTAATGGATCCCTTCCAATTCTGATTTGATTGACTAAGGTTGTAGTTCTCTTTTTCACCAAAAGGCAGGAAATAATAAAAGATTGGATGGGTAAATCAAACCTGAGGAAATATGTTTCTAAATCTTGGGAATAAAATGTCTAGTTCCAGAGTTTGCGTAGTCTCGATTCTTCGTGTGGGCCAATGTTTACTCTCCCTGTCTTCTTCATGGTGCATTTTCAAAAGGTCTAGAAAGTCACTGGCAGCTTTTCATTGCACCTCATTCATTCTGTATTGTAACAAAATTACTTGCCTAATCAGTTTGATACACTGTGGTTTTCCTCTGGCCTGTATTTTG